CTGAAATCCAATCAGCTGTGTAGGTTGCTCACCCTGCAGGTGTGATGACAAACATCAGGGGCCTCATGCACTAAGACTTGCGTGGATTTCCTACTAGAATGTGGCGTACAGTGAAAGAGTGAAAGTTCCGTACGCACACAAAAATTCAGATGTAACAAAACGTGCGTACGCAGAATCCCACGCACATTGTCTTTGTACATCGCAATCAACGTGAAATTGAGCGCACATGCACGAGCACAACGCTCCACCCTGTCCCCTCCCTGAAATACACTGATTTGAATATGCTAATTAGTATAAATAGGCCTAGATAGTGCTGTCTTTAGGAAAATGGCAAAAGCCAGGAAAAAAAGAAATGTGTGTATCTGTATTTTGCCAGGTACAGGTAGTAAACTCGGTAGGGTCGGAGAACCGCACCGCAGCGGAGTTGAAAAAGGAGTGGTCAGATATGAAGACATATCTGCCCATCACCAGAGCCTTCAGGCCACAGGTGGTGGAGTCCCTGCATTACGGTAGACTGATATACTGTACTGCTGTATTGTGAAAGGTTTACGGTACGTACAAGATGTGGCGTCACCACGCTCCCAGTGAGCGCTAGTTGTTGTTGTGTGTGAGCCATGCTGATGAGACGGCGGCACATCGGTCCGCACTTTATTGTTAACTGTTAAATAAATATGCCAAGAGGCTAAAGATCATTTGAGTGTGTTCTACTTCCTCCATACGCAGTAGAGGACTGCGCGCCGCAGTAAATAACCCCTTAACACAAATAATCTGCAAATGATTTAAAAATTGTGTAATTGCTTGATTGATTGTAAATAATAATGTCTTTCGCATGCAGTGCAACTGTCCCTGCCCCAATTTCAATGCATCGCCTGTGAGTGTCACCAACTGACAACTGACATAAGCAAAAAATATGTACGTACGCCAGCACTGAAGCTGCCGTGGAGAACCACACATTCTCAGGTTCATTTCACTTTTAGTACATCCGAACGTGAACGTGAAAAATGGCGTATGCACGAATTTTGTGCGTTCGCAACGTTAGTACATGAGGCCCCTGGTGTCTGTGTCCTTTACTTCACCTGGCAAGCTCAGGTGGTCACATGCATGGGGCCTGAAGTGCACATGAACTACCCTGCATTAGTTCAGTGATCCGGCGTGTTTTCAGGCTTCACTGAAGTCCAGCCATGCCCCTGTGAGTCCAGAAAAACAAGAGCTTAGCGCAAAGGAATGCAGAGAGCCCTTCACTGGAACCTGAAGGGGCTCCGCAGCTCACATAAAGAGAGCAGGGACAGTGCTGTGTTTCTCTGGATGAGTTTCAGTATGCACTCCTCCCCAATCATTGTGATTTCACACACTTGTTTTCTACTGCAGCTTTGTTAAGGAATTATAGAAGCTACCTGATAGTCTGAGTAAGAAAGAGAAAGGCAGACTAGCTTTGAACAGATCACATTAAACTGATATAAACCTGAAGTACAGGCCCAGTCTGTTAACCACAGCATCTGGTACCAAAATTATGAAAAAAGCAATAATTGTCTTGCGCATGACCCAAGGTAGGAATGCAAATGAATCATCTTTGTTGTCTGAAAGAACATTTTCTCCCTCTGGTATCGGCTGTTTTGTTTTTAGAAGATCAGTTTTGTGGCTGGATGGATAACATCCATCAAATATCAGAGACTGCATCCAAACCGTGTCTCAAGAGTAAGGCATACGCCTCAGGCTGCTAACTGTAAATACAACCCATTTCAGATGATTTGTTTACTGAATGTGTCTTGTTTCTCTATCATATCAGGTTTTCTCAAGTTTCAGTCATTTCCTCATCATGTCCTCAAGTCATATCCACAAAAGCATGTTTTTCTGACAGCTTTCCTGTAAGACATTGAGCTTTATCTGCCCCCACAGAAAAATTTCCCTGCTTTACCTGCAAAAAATCTTACACCTTCAATGTTTTGACTGAAATACTGGCCAACTTTTGCCTCCCACGCACATCTGACTTAATTAAAGGCTCAGAGAATGCAGGTTCTGGACTAGGAAAATACAGAAGCAGTCTCTCTCCGCATTCTTTCTCGCCCACGCTTTTAAAGAAACAGTGCAGTTTCATATTGCAGCCTACACAGAGTTTCAGTCCTATAATGATAAGAGCGGCTGTGTTAAAGTTAAATTAAACCAAATCTTTTTTACCTTTTAAAAATGATTAACTTGCTTGGGCTCCAGAATGGCTGTTTATGTAGAAAAGAGGGTGTGATCAGGAATATTTTGGTTGTGTTATTACAGCAGCAACAAGAGCTCAATAAAACTTCTGTCCTGAATCTTTCAGAAAAACAGCGTCATCTCCTCAAATGTCAGCTGAATAAAAAAAAAAAAATGGCACAAAAACACAAAGTATGTATGAAAATACTCAAATAGTCCAATTCACCTGTCTACTTAGTGACCAAGACCAACCACGTCTGACGCACATTCAGTCTTGGCCTAGCTATCAGTTCAAATGACATTGAGCGTCATAATCATTTCAAGCAGATTGGCAGTGTAAACAGGACACATGTACTGCTACTGCTTTCAAACACAATTGTTAATTCCTGGAAAATCTTACTACTAGTGTTGGTGTTCGCTCACCTTGTTTGGGTAATTATCTTCAGGGAGGTTTTGAATTGTGTCTGACTCTCCTCAAGTCTCTCTTCTGAAAATGTATTTATTTATTACGAGTCTGTTTTAGATTGTCCTCACTTGCTCATAGGCTAGCCTGACAAAGCCACCACTGGCTCATTGATTGGTCTACTTTAAGTTTTTACTGTAAACTATCTCTGTATACAAACAACCACCTGTCTCACACTCACCCGAGAGGAGCATGATCGGTGGCAGTAGTTCGCTAGCCAGGTGCCGGTAGAGGAGGCAGTAGTGGCTCCCTGGCGCCCCAAGCCCTGAGATGAGGGATGACATTTTTTGGTCATGTCAGCTCCTTGCTGGGAGTGCATGGTTATGGTTGTGGGAAACTGGGGGGCAGACCCATCAGTGGTTGGGTCCGGTGTGTTGTGATTAGTTTTTGGGCCCAGCTGAGAGTCCACCACATCCCTAATGGATCACGCCTCTGGTGGTAACCAATAGCGAAGCCTGTTAGAGGGCGTGGCATATACAAAATAGAAATAGTTTTTGGATGCAACTCCAGGCCCAGCTGGTCCCTGTTCTGTTGCTGTTACTGAGCAGTGTATCTGCTGGAGTTTTATACTGCGTGATTACAACCTCCTGACTGGGTGCAAAGATGGAGCAATAAACCAAAAGTAAGGGCCATTAGAGGGCGTCGCACATACTCATAGAACTGGAGTTACATCCAGTAACTTCTACTTCTTATTGCCATGAATCTCTATTTTAACACAGTCCTTTCAGAAGAACCAAACATTATGCAGCCATCTTTGGAGCCCACAGAAATTGGATAGTATTTTCGGTAAAGTATCACTTTAAATTCGAGCTCCTGATTCACCGTCTCTAACTGGTTTAGGGTGAGTCAGGTGCTGTTCATGTGAAATGAAACCCACTTACAGTAATTAAAATTCCTCAGTTGTGTGCTGAGATCAGGTTATCCGGTTGGAACTGTTCTGATGCTGGTGCCACTGAACTTTGTCCAGACTTCTGTCCCTCCCCCCCTCAGTGCATCCGGTTAGTCAGCTATTTAAAAATCCGGCCAAATCAAGCAGGTGGACACAGTTTACAGAGGAAATGGATGACCATACACATTCTCGCAGTGCAGTCTGCATTTTCAGCTTTTTTGGTCTTCATGTTCCGTTTGTTTCAGCAAAAGATGACCTGCTGAATTCTGACTCATCCGAATAAGTTTAATTCCTCTTTCTTGTTTCTGCTTTGTTCTCATTTAGAAGAAAATGAATGAATTTAATTCCCATTATTATCTCTCAACTGCTTCCTGTTCCTGTTCTGACCTTTATTCCCTATTTGTCATGAGCTCAAACTTTGGACCAGTCACGCTGACAAGTATTCCTCCCCTTTCCCCTATAAACTGTTAAATCTTGATGTCAGTAACATTAACAGAGTCCTTCAGCAGGCTGCCCTCCACAGCGGCTGTTTGCTTTCTCTCTGCCTTTTTTCCCAACTCCTCTATCACCTGACCGTGTTTGCTTCCTCTTAAAGCAAATTTACTCTGTGAGGTATTTGAAAGCCAACTCACAAGAGCAGGCTTGTCTTTGGCAAAGTCATAAACCTGTAAACGCACGTCAGCTCATAGCTTCCCCTTTCATTGTCCCGGTTTCATCTCTAAAAACAGCACTATTTTGGACTTTTTGGGGGACACAGTATTTCACTAAGAGAGCTTCAAAACTTTGACATAAAGTACAGGGAGTGGAGCAGTTTGTGGCTGTGTGTTTGGGAGGAATGGGAGGAATGAGGATCATGATACAGGCAGGCGTCGGTCAGGAGAGCCAGTGAAGGAAAAAAAGTCCTGGGAACATTGAGTACTAATATAACTTATATACACAAATAAGGGTGTGACTGCGACTGGATTTTGAGGTTATAACGTAAAGGGGGATTGTGTGTTTGTTTGGAGGCTATTTGAGGCCATGGTTAAACAGGAATAGCAAGAGCCTTTACTTCAGCTGCGATTCTTTAAAGCTTTTCAGCCTTGGCCTTTGTCCCTGCTTTGAATAGCAAGGTAGACTTTGTGCTGCCCTGAAAAAGACAATTGAAAGCCAACAGCTGGCAATGCAATTGCCGTTAGCGTCTCTCAAGTCAAGATCCAACCTGCTCTCCTCATTAGAGTCACCCAGAGTTTGGTTTTTCCAGTTTTCCTTTTGTTTTGAGTACACAGGAAGGTGTGTGTGTTTGTATGTGTAACTTGTGTGCAACTTGAGCAATAGCGGAACCCGAGTCAATAATGTTCCCACGCATTTCTCAACGTCCCTGAGATAAACTGCAGCTCAGAGAGAGAGTACACTGCCAGTGGTTTAGGCGGTGTTTAATTCCAGGATCAACTTCACCTTCAAATAAGCTCTAAAGAGGTCAGGTTTGTTGGTTGCATCTATGTTAATATGTGGTGTTGGAATGTAACTGATCCAATGGTGGAAGAAGTAGATCCTTTACTAAAAGTACTCATACCACGCTCTGAAAATACTCCACTACAAGTACAAGTCTCACATTCAAAACCTAGCTTAAGTGAAAGTATTAACTCAAAGGATGAAAAGTACTCATTGTGCAGTGAAATGTTCCCCGTCAGTGTTTTGCTTTCACTGCTGTAGATGTTTATGGTTGAGCTCATTTGAATTACTTTACATACTGCTGGGTAGTTTAATCTACAGCAATGCATCATATTCTGTAAGATCATCATACGGTTGTAGCATCGCTGTCCTGTGAGAACCATTTGTCTCTAAAAAGTAAACTTTTTTATGAGCCCTGAAGTACAGCCCCGTTTTCAGCTTTGTGACAATGCATTTCCAGCTAATCCAAGAGGGGTTTTAAAAAGTTTATTTATCTTAAGAAGTAGGAGAAATTTCACCATATTTGGAGTTATAAGGAAAATTGGATTCTGAAAAGTAACTTGGAACTAAAGCTGTCAGTCAAATGTAATGGAGTAAAAAAAGTATAAAGTTGCATTAAATGGAAATACTCACATAGAGTACTCACATACCTTTAATTTGTAATTCAGTACAGTACTTACTAACTAACTTACATTTAGGGAAATATTGTACTTAATATTGTACTTTTTACTCAATACATTTATTTGACAAATTTAGGTACTTCTCATTAACAATTTACACAAAAACACTTATTGTAAGCTTAAAGAATACAATTAATTGTGTGCAGCAGTGTGTAGTTGGGGCTCCTTGTGACAACACGAGTTGTTATCAGTTCCACCAAAGAGACATTTGAACTGTAAACTTCTCACATGGTTTCATTTCAATCACTGTTTGAGGCCAAAAGAGGTCAAGAGAAAATGTGAATACAACAATTTGTGTAACAGAACTTGTTTTTTTTACGTCTTCCCAACCCCATTAATCATCTCATGACCCCTCTGATTTATCTTGTGACCCTTTGGAGGGGCCCGGCACGTAGCTTGGGAACCACCGGACTAATCTAGCTAACTGCATATTAAATAATGAAAATTGCACCTTGAACAGCCACATTAGTTCACAGGAACTACACACGGATCCATTCGTATTATCTCATGTAATATTATATCAGAGTATTCAGGGGACATTTTCTGCAGTATGAAAAGTACTTTTACTTTTGATACGGTTGTGGGATAGTGACTCACAAACCTAAAGCAACTGGTTAAGAAATTTACATCAGTACATGATGGTAATACATTTTAATTTCATGTTGGATCCCATTGCAGAGTAAGAAACTGATTGAAAGTTTAAGTACTCTGGCATTTTAAACTTTTACAGCCTCGGTTTTATATGTTTTCTTCAATTATTCCATTTTATTGAGAACGTGTATAAAGTTTCGCCTTTATGTTTAACTCCATCCTAACCACAACAGTTGGCAACAACACCTGCATCACTGCTGATCTGGCTTCACACTAGTCTGTCTGACACTTAAGTAAACACCTTCAGCTGTGACTTCTGGCTGGGTAATCATCTAATCAATAAAGTCATCACAAATATTCCAACAAACCCGTCAATTTCTGCGTCAGACAGAGAAACCAAACTGCCTCTAACAGCCCGTTGGTTTTTGCCTAATATTGATCCCTTACTGTCTCATGGCCTGCCCCAACATCCTGTTTCAACTTGATCAGTGCAAATTTCTGACCATCTTTTTATGAGCTTGTGCAGGTCAGAGACTTCAGACCCAAAGTATCCTCTAGAATTCCAAATAGGTTGATATCCACAGCTGAACATTTGCCTATTTATTATGTGTTGATCTTCTGCATGATCCCATGAGGCAGAAAAGCATGATTTCATAATAACATTAATAATAAAGTATGCAAAATAAAAGAACAACAACAACAAAATCATACCTGAAAAGCATGCTGTATCTTATAACTCTTTAAAACTCAAAATGAAACACTGTCAGTTTCGAGGTGCATTGAGTGGACTGTTTCAATTTAAGCGCCACAGAAAGTGTTGGGGTGGAGCGCCTGGCTGGGTAGTGGCCCATATCAGCTGGTGTTTTTCGGTGGAGTGGAAAGTACCTAAGTGTTGTCGCAAGTAAAAAAGTCTGTGCACAGAAAACTGCTACAAAATGAATTTGTTGACCTATTCTGACCTCGTTTAACTGATAAATTTGACTGAATGCAACTGAGAACGCTGCAGCTGTGGCCTGATAGAGGCTGTGTCAGAGCTTGTTATTATCAGAGGTGTGTCGCTTCCTGTAAGTCAAAATATATTCAATAAAAGAAAAAGAAAGGAAGGGAGGTGCAAAGGAGTTGTGATTATAATGATGAACTGCTATAATAAGCATCTTTGTATTGCGCTTGTTTAGATTTTTTCTCCATCTTGGTTGCTTGGTGTCTCCACAGCTGACGTCTCAAAAGATCCACTGTCAATCGAACCTTGTGAGGTCCACCTGCTTGAGTTTTCATATTAGGGCTGGGTATCGGTACTGGATACCTTTCAGGTATCAACCGAAACAACCCGGTACCAAGTAGCATTGAAACTGCGCCTGTCAAACGATACCTGCAATCGGTTCTTTTTGTACCCACTACCCAGATCAAGAAAAATATGACTGTTTCTATGGTTTTGCTTTGTATGGCGGTAAAGTGTGCACGGTAAGTCTGTGGCGGAGTTGGCTGGTCAGCATTTCGAGATGCCGGCAGCAAAACGTTCAAAAGTATGGTTGTACTACTTGCCTGTGGCGCCGGGTACAAATAGATGCATCAAATGTGGCAAGATTATTTCGGGGAAAACTAGCAACATGATGAAGCACCTCATCACGCATGGAACAAACTTCAGGGAGGACAACTGCACTGTTTTTAAGAAGCCGGCGTCTACAACACCAGCGTCGTCGTCGTCGTCGTCATCTCAACAGGACACGGAGTAGGGTGGCCATTTGTCCGACTTTTAGTAATTTCATTGGTTACATTTTCGTGTAGTGACCTATCAACACATGGCTAATTTTAATATTCAAATGACCCATGTGTTGATTGCCACAACATGCTACCACCAGGCTGTCAATCAAGCTCTCAGACAGTGAATGTAAAGTGAGCTAACGTTGTTTGTTGGACTGAAATTCTGAAAATGCTCATACTCAGATGTATAAGCAGCGCCTAGGCAAAGCCTATACATCTGAAACAGAAGGTGCTGCATTTTATACCTTTTATCTAACCAGATTAAAACATTAAGAACAGTTTCTGTATGATGTTTATTAGACCTATGCAATCTGAATTGGAAGGGCACGTTGTCATGAGCTGTATCTTGTATATTTATTATTAGCTATGTGGTAGGTGTATGCACCTTTATGTAATCTGGTGGAAAAACTTTAAAATGTAAAACTGAATCAAACCAAACAAATATCTGCTTGTGTGTCCCCGTGTATGCAGAGTGTCCTCCTTTTTGATGTTAAGGAAATGGCCACCCTAACACGGAGCAACAGTCGATAACTTCAGGTAATATCGTTGTACATGTTTGTACAGTTATTAAATAAATATTTGAGCACTTTCAGTGTAAAAATCTTTTGAATGGGGAGGAGTGGTGACATTTATGCAACCGATTGCTTTTTTTTTTTTAAGTTGGAAAAAAAGTATCGAATGAAGTACTCCATTGGTATCGGTATCGTGTTAAGGGTACTGGTATCGGTACTGGTATCGAAATTTTTTAAACGATACCCAGCCCTATTTCAGATGGAAACCTGAGTTTCATGAGTATTGCGCCTGACAAAATATTAAACTTACCACAGTTTTTTTACTTCCTGTGTGGCAGAAGATTTCCCCAAGATAGAGAGCCACCATCATTTTGCATCACTATCATTCCACAGTCCAAAATCCCCACTGCAGTCCCATTTCTCTCTCTATTTGCATCTGCAAATCCATGTGTGCACAGGGAAAGAGCTGTAGCATAGACAGCAAAAAAGGCTCATGTAGTGTACTGCATGCACCAACATTCATCTGTATTTAAAACCTTCAAGATCATTCACAATTCAATTTAAAACTAACCAATCTAAGTTAATCATAATTTAATGTGTAACTTCATGTCCTGAAACATCTCATTTGTGTATGTAATGATTTTAAGTTCTTATAAGGACCTGTAGACACAAGTCTGTCCAAAGAAAATAATAATGATTACAGTCCTTACTCACTATGATTAATATCTAAGTTTGTAAGAAGCGGTTTATTTTTTAACTCTCGTGTTGTGTCACTGCAGCTGTCTCTGCAGCAGAGCCCAACAGCTGAGAGAGGATCAAGGCGGGATGACAACATGCACTCTAAATAAAAGGCTCACATCATGAGTAATTGAGATTGCACAACAAGTTAAAGACCATTTGTGTGAATTATTGGCTGTCATCTTATATCCCTTTAACCTATATTTAGACGGGGAAGGGTTTTGCTGAGTTCTACTTCTGTCAGGCATTTTCTTGATTCACATTTAGCCCAAACAACAGATATACATCTACGCTTGGTCACAGAGCAGTCAGTAAGGAGGTGGGCATTAAGTGTCTTGCTCAGTGGCACCTGGTCAGAGGTTTTTAGAGACAGACATGAATTCTCTGCTAGCTCAACCAATCTGATGGCTTTATATAGACCACATTGGGCAAAGCGGCAGAACAAAATTTTTTGGGAGAAAACACCACACAAGACTAAACAAGAGTCTATAACCACATGAGTGACTCTGTGTGGCTTTACTTAGGCACAGCAATGCTTTGAGCTAACAACAGAATGCCAACATGTTCGAAATGACAATTAAACTGTAACATAATGATGTTTAATAAGTCATCATCCTAGTGTAGCATGTTGCTAATTAGCGCTAAACACAGCTGAGACTGATGGGAATATCCGTTTGCAGGTATTTGGTCTTAAAGGTATCGGCAAAATTGACATTTTGAACTGTTAATGGCTCTAATTGAAAAGTCATTAGGATTAATTCTCTGGGCACCATTAATCTCTACAAAATGCAAAGGCAGTTTTGTTGCGATATTTTAGTTTAAACCAAAGTGGCAGAAAGGCCTAGAGCCATGCCGCTAGCATTAAGAACCAATGGCAATGGCTGTTTGTTCAAATGCCTAATGCCGCGATCACACTGCATGATACCTCTGCCTTCCATGACGGTCAGTAGGTCATCAGAAAGTCATCAAGTCTTTCAGTTCAACTGCATGTTTGAGCCTGACCAATCATAGCTTGTCGTCTTTCACAACCTCCATGACGTACGTTACTGGAGAAGACTCGACTGTTCCAGCTGACGCCACCAATATTATTCCTCTTTCATTTGTGCTTTGAAGAGCATTCTGTGCTGACATGTTTCATTGTCATTGATTGCAGAAGTTGTCACAGAGAAACCAAAACACCTTCATGCTAATGATTTTCTTTGGAAATCCCAAGGCTTCCCAGGCGCTGAGTTAATATTACACAGGAAAACTTGTTCCCAACATGTCACATCTGCCAGGAAGGGGCATTATCAGACTGGCATTATAGTCTGATCAGGGAATAGAATGATAAGCCATCTCTCTCTTTGGCATTCAAATTATGGATGTCAGAAGCAGGGGAAGCATGATGTTATTATGGTACCGGAAAAACCTCTTAGGGCAAAAGGTGAGGTGAGGTGAGGTGAATGGGGGCACGTTGTCTCAACAATGACCATGATCTCTTTCTAGTGTTAAACACAGATTTTGTGCCATACCGGAAATTGCAATGACAAACATCATATCTCCTAGTTTGGTGGACTTTCTGGTTCATTACTCACAATTACGTAATTGCAACTGGTGAGCGGACCTTGCACATGCCTCTCAAAATCTGAAACATCGCTGTCGGCAGCCACAGCGAATGCACGTGGCTTCTGTATCCACACTGGCAATCGGGGAGCTGATGTAAAGATGAGAAAAAGGAGGAAGCAAGTGGAAGATGGCATGCACGCTCTACAACTGCACATATGGCCATTGTTGGTGGTTCCTTCAACAGGCTCGCCTAGCGCTGCTGTAGATTTGTCCACATCGCCCACTACAGTGTTGGAGAGCAATAGCAGCTCTCGCCATGACGGGAGCGTGAGCCTGCACACATTGATTGTTGCAGACTATTTGTTGCAGGGACTTTGCTCAGCCTTTACGTGTCTCCAGCATTAACCCCTTGTAGTCTTTGAGCGTGCATGGCATGGTTTCCTCCGGCCGCAATGAGACAGTGTCAGCTGCATTGATTGATGTAAACTGAAGTGTGTAAACACTGTAAATGAACATGTTTGTGCATGCTTAGAAATGTAAACTCTAGGTGTTTTTAGGAAATGCAGTGTTTGTATGTCTGTGTTTGTTTTGCCTGCTTGTATTTCAGCTTTTATGAGCATATTGTTTGGATCAATTCTTCTTACCAACCAGATTGCTGCACTCACACCTATTTGCACACACCCTTAGTGAAATCATTGGAAGAACATCTCAAACACGGCCACGCCAAGTGCAATTTGGCTGTGCGACAAGTTAATACTGAAGAACAGATTAAACAGCGAAGCAGTGATCACTGTGTTGATTTACAGTCATGTGTGCAGCACACCCACGCAAACTGACAAAACAAAAATGTGCTTTACATACTGTAAGCAGCGGCAGCGGTAAGGGGTTGGTGCTTCAAACCCGGATGTTTACAGGCTTGATCAGTTTGATAACTGATTGGCAGCGGTGCTGTGGGAGTTTCTTTTGAGAAATGGTTGCTCCAAATAGGTGCCAATATCTTAAATGAAAACACAACTATGGTCTTATCATTCTGGTTACTGTGGTTGGTGAATCATTTATCTTTTATTGTTTGAAAACAAACCTTATCTTAAAGATGGAATAAAGCCTATAAAGCATGATGATTTCTTACCAATATAGCTCACTAAAGTAATTAAATGATCAGACACAGCCGAAGTTTCAGAGCATTTGTCAACAGGCAACTTATTTTTAACTGTACCTTAATCTGTGTTTGAATCTAATGTTCCATTCAGCAAATTTAAACAATGAAACCAGAGTTCTGCAGGTGCTCTGGATGATGGAGGAGGATTGTTGGGTTTACTATATTAGCTGAGGAATTATGTAATAGCCTAACCTTGTGAGGCAGCTGGACGAGAATCCATCTTGCCAGACCAACGCTATGCACGTTTGTCCAACCAATCAGCGTCCTTTGAGGAGTTACTGGCAGCTGCAAGCTACGGGTGTGGTTTAATGCTAGAAGTGTGTGAGACGCGTGTGACACTGCTTGAAAACAACAATGGCGGCTGCTGAAGAGGTTGGTGTAGGTGCTGCTAGAATCAGTTCTATCAGAACTTCAGTAAGAGTTTGACTTCGTTGATCTGATTGGTCGGTGACACACAGATGGTTCATCCAATCACCTGCCAAGTATTTCCTTTTCCAAACTGTTTCCAATGACGACTTCCCTGATAGTTCTGTGTAACCAACTTCCTGTTTCAGTCAGGTTACAAATAACGTCTGTTTTCTGACTTTTGCAGATGCTGGGATGTAATGTGACAACCAGTGATCTTCGGCACTCGCCACTGGAATGAAATCTCGACATAGAAGGAAGTTCATCAGCCCAAAAAACTGCAAATGAACAAAGACAATCATGTTCAGCACCTTCATCTACTGCATCTTCCATCCCAGTTGGACTGAACACTGTGATTCTGTGTCGCTCACTGCAACACACACATTGCACTTTTTTTTTAGCGTGCACTTTAGTATCATTATCCAAAATAATGGATAATATGTGGTTGCAGGGTCAATCTAACCATGCAAAGGTTTTGGTGTTATTGTCACAGGTTTTGAGATATCTGCCTCAACCCCGATACAACAGAACCCTTGAAAATGACATTTAAAAACATTCAACAGCAACAACATTTTCATGATCATTTTAGGATGCTTTGAGCTTCATAAATGGACTCTAATAACCTCTGTTGTATTTGAGTGGCAGCAAGTCAAAACACCTGCAGATTCAAAAAGATAAGACTGAAACTCTTTTTGTGACTCAATCTGACTAGTAGTACCTGTCTGCTGTTTGTTTCTCTCTCTCTCTCTCTCTCTCTCTGTCTCGCTCTCTTTCTCTCTCTCTCTCTCTCTCTCTTTCTCTCTCTCTCTCTCACCCCAACTGGTCGAGACAGACCACCACCCACCTAGAGCCGAAGGATCTGTCCTAGGTTTCTGCCTTTTAACAGGCAGTTTTTCCTTGCCCTTGTCGCCAAGTGCTTGCTCATGGTGGTACTGTTGGGTCTCTGTAAATAATGTTATAAGGAGTTTGGTCTAGACCTGCTCTATTTGAAAAGTGTCCTGAGATAACTTCTGTTATGAATTGGCGCTATGCAAATAAAATTTAATTGAATTGAATAGTAGGTAGAAAGGAGAGAAACTATGTTTTTCATTTGCTTTCCCTACAAGAGTTTCCATGGTGAATTTAGACATTCAAATCAATGAGGTAGTTTGTTAATCTCTAAATCTCACCGTTGATCTACTTACACAGTGTTTGTGCACACGTCGGCCATTTTGATTTAAAGTTTCACTTTCGGCGAACTTTTCGCGTTGTATTTGAACGAACTCCTCCTAGGGAATTTATCAAATATGCTTCAAAATTTGTGAGTACAGTCAGAAAATGGTGCTGATTAAAAGTTGTGCTATTTATGCATGTACGTTGAAGGGCGTGTCCGTGGCGTGACCTCAAAGTTGGCCACGTTGAATCGAATGTCAAACTGTGATGCCATTTCCGGCATTTTGCAATGATTTTCAGAGTTTTTTTGCATTGTATTTTAACGAAGTCCTCCTAGAAAATTTTTCAGATCTGCTTCAAAATTTGTCAGTACAGTCAAAAAATGGTGCTGATTAAAAGTTGTGCTATTTGTGACTGTACGTTAAAGGGCGTGTCCATGGCGTTCCCTCAAAGTTGGCAAGGTTGAATCAAATGTCAAACTGTGATGCTATTTCTGGCATTTAAGGGCTTCTGTTTTAACTAACTCCTCCTACAGATGTTATCAGATTGACTTCAAATTCGATCACTTCAATCTACACACATTGGTTATCAAAAGTTGTGCTATTTGTGACTGTATGTTTAACCGTGTGCCCGTGACGATGTGTCGAATTCCACCGATTGGCCATCAAACAAATAGTACTCACATCTTCAGTGTACAGTCCCACCCTGAACACGTCCTCATAACTTCAGCGTACATGATCCAGTCTCAATGAAACTTCACGTGTTTGATAACAATGCCACCCTGAACACGTCTACATGACAATATTCAGACATAGTGATAGCGCCACATACTGGTAAAAGGAAGTATCACGTTTTATACTTTCATGTTCTACTCCTCGCAGGATGATCAGATCCACCTGAAATTTACTTATAAAATGAAAAACACATTGTTGATGATATGTGTTGACTGTGGTGAGGGGGCGTGTCTGTGGGGTGGCGGGAAATTTTGATGGGCCGCCACAAAACACGAATTCGCTATAACTTGAGTGTACATTGTCCAATCGGCTCCACACTTCAAATGCTTGATAACAGTCCCGCCCTGAACACATGTACATGTATATAATATATAATATTTTAATGTGTTGTGCACGAATGATGATTAAGGCCACGTGAAATTTTTTTTTTTCATTGTAAGTGTTAAGTGTGTTTAATCTTGATAATCTTGATTTTCTTATTTTGTTGACCTGACTTGAATTTTACTTTTCTCTTAAAATTCAGAACTACTTTTCAGAAAAACTTACTTTAGAATTCATCCTACTTTTCCTATGAATTTAGAATTATTTTCTTAGGATAAGTTACTATTTTATTATCTGAAATCGGAGTTTTAATTTATTCTCAATTCTCAATGTATTCCTGAGATTCAGAATTTTGAAAGTAAGCTAATTTTTTATTTTATTTATTTATTTTTTCATTTGGCCCTACTGATCCTCTATACTTTGTTCCTTTGTGTTATAGAATGTTATTGCACTTGAATAATTGCTCAAATGTCACAGTATTCTTAAATTAGTGTGTCACACTGAGCACATGGTCAAACCTTGTTAGTAGTTTTCAAAAAGACCATCTGTTCTTCATTGAAAATATTTACTGACTTGTCTTTTTTACAGACAGAAAGCTTTTAGACAATTCTATCACTATATGGAAATGCTTTTCCATTTGCACTTTACAAAGTCTTTTATGGTTGTATTATTATTCTCCTGCACCTAATGTTTTGACAGAGAAATCTACCTGATGTTCACTAATTAAAACCACTGACTTATGGACCCAAACAGTACATTTGGTGACCATAAAGATTGACATTATTTTTGTATACAGTAGACTACTGCAGAATTTAAGTTGCAGATGGCAAATGTTTATTTTAGGTTTCCCTACTGAGGAACTTTTTTTTTTGTAGAATGGCTTCCAACATTTTGTGCATTGAATTTCACATCCATGTAGGAGGGTGTCTCATCTTTGGAATAAAACTCTTCAGCTCTTTGTTCTCATGAATGTATCTATACAAATGCAAATGAGGTTTTATCCTGACTTTTACAGCATCCACCATGTTGTTCACTTCTTACAAACACTCACCTCTTTTAAATCCCTCCCTATACATCCTCAAGCTATGATTTTGGAATCAGACATGTTGCCCAAAAGATTTTTCTATTGCTTCAAATGCTTTCAATAGAATTGAGAAGACTGTGGGCGGGCGTGTTTTTTTCCCCCTCTCTCTACAGTTGTTGGATGTCTCTGGGGAGTCTGCTGGATTATGGAGGGGATTTCTGTTGGATTTCAGTGAAATAAAGAAGACTGTTTTTTAACCACTGAAGAGCTCTCCTGTAGCATCAACCAATCACAAAGCCTGCAGACCTGACGTACCCCTAAGTGGTGTTTATGTGCATTTTTAACAGTAGACATCTCAGACTGTAAGCTGTGTATAATAGAGTATTGCATCATTTAAAGAGAATGTCTGTGAGGCTATAAGCCTTTTAAAACAGCAGTGGCCTACTTTGTTATCTAAATGAACCATGTTACACAACCTATGGGGCTCTATTGTCTGTGATGAGGTCTCCTATAGGAGGCAGATGGTGCCACCAGCTGATGAAGACATGACAAGATGAACTTTGTGATAACTGCCACAAAGTGATACAATGACATCTGTTAACAGCATGGTAAAAATAAAAAGTAAGTCAGCTGAGGAAGTAAAACACCGCAATTGGAGGATTTTATAGGTGCAACAAACGGTTACGAAGAGTCTACAACTACGGTGGCTCAGTGAGACTGTACTAGTTTGCCAAGATCTCCATCTTAGATAAAAGTATAACGAAGATTTTATGGAACAGTCTCAGTTTAATAGCGATGCCTCTATATGACCTTCATAAACAAACAACACCGTCAGTGAGAAGGAGTTACTGTTAATGCCTGCCTCAGGTTCAGATATGGTGGGATTCCCCTTGAAATCAATGAACCAAGGCGGTCGAAACAGTCCTGTTTTTGTCCACAGGGGCCACTAGAATCAACACAAAGTGAAGGTTTTTCCATTGTAGCATTTGCTAATTAATGGTAAACTTAAAGTACAGGCTGATGCGAATGTCATAGTATTTTATTAACCAAACTATTGGACATACATACATACAGCAATCTTAGTTAAGGGATTGCCGTTGGAAGTGAAACAGAAGACGTGCAGAACTGCATGTTGTTTTGATTCTGCCTGGCATTCCACATTAATGCTGCATCAGTAGTTAGGACATCTTGTTCTTCTTAACTGGAGTTGTGAGGCAGATTCCTGCTGTGGGTTGAAGTAACTGGCTAAAACTGCATGTCTGGACTTGCTGAGCATTACATAAGAGATGGATGTAATCTCATCAGACGTGACTGAGCCTTACAACTCCTAGCTTTACTGATGACACACCACAGCAAGAACAGGGCAAGGAGACCTGAAGAAGTGCTGCTGGGCATTTTCACGACACAAACATACACACACACACACAGACATACAGGCGTACTGTATGTGTAATAGGTTTTAACATGTCTCAGCAAAGTCACATTCAGTCACATGTGTCTATAATGTCTGTATATTACCACATATGGGTCCCTATTTATGTAATGCAAAATTCTCAAAATGTATATTTGTAGTTTTTGGTGCTAGGCAGGTAGTGTACTGAGCTTTTACGCTAATGATGACAAGACAATATGAAATTGTTTGAGTATTGGGACGATGTATAGTCATTTATGTTCTTTTCTTTGAGGAAACATTTGGTTGAGCAATGATTCGGCTCTCTTTCGAAAATGAATGCAACTGCCGGAAGTCCTTATTTATGTGGTATTTGGTGTGTGCACTATGTTATGCAATCTCATGTGAGATGACACTGTAATGGTATGACACAAAAATAATAAATTAATGAATTCATTCATAAGGCAACTATGGAAGGGACAGGTGTGTGCCGACTCTATCGTATCGTGTGGTGGATTATCCTAGAAATTCAGAACTTGCTGAAAATAATAACGACAAATGTATTACTACTGTTCATCAATAAGTCTCCAGAGCTTGTTTTGTCTCAATGAAATCAGCGTCATTTCACACTGAATGCCATGAATGTCGTGTTGAACATGTTTCTACAGTAACACAGGAGGGACAAACCAAACACTGTCGAAAGGGTGCTTTCATGTTTTTTTGGCAAATTTCGCCTCCTCCCTATTCACTGGACCTATTAAGATCTGTACTGTTTTCCAGAGCACTAACAGGAACCATTTTTCTTAATTATAAATAAATCAAATAACAGTGTAACAGTCTTAGAAGTCCTCCGAAATCCTTGTTGGTGTATCAGAGGTTAAGAAACACGAAGGATGTGTGGTGACACATTCTTTCTCAGGAATGCAGCGGCCATTCATAGGACACGACAAGACTGGGTGAGGACATTGTGTCTCATCAGTGGGAACATTGTGTCTCAGACAGAATGATGTGTATGTGGGGCTGGAGGAAAAGACAACACCCCTGAAGATCTTTCTATTTGTGAAGCAAGACATCATGCTTTTATTTTGATTAGTCTGGTTGTCAGGCATCACTAAAAGAGACGCTCCCTTAGCTTTAGTCATACTTGTATGTCATTTGTATGATACCTTTTTCATTATGTGATATTATCATGTTTCTACTTCTCTTTGATGTAAGCTCAACAAGGTCTGTAATGTCTGTTTTGACGACCTCAATCTAACTACATCCCTTATCTAAATTTTTTTTAATCTTTTCTTACTTTCATCTTTCTTTATTGTAAGGATCATAACAAGACATGTTTGACTTCTGGTTTGGTACAGCCTGCAGGGCTTTGTTAAGCATTTTCTTATATTTGCATTATTTTCACTGGGATCAAGTCTGCTTGGTTTTCTAGAGGCTGTTCTTAGTTGTTTTTTTTACAGTCCCCTCCTTTCACTTTCATCCTGACTTTCGCTTCTCGTTCTGAATCACTCAGTCAGTGCATTATTTAATCTGGCATGTACCATGCTTTGTGCACTGGGAAATGTCCCCTTTCCTTTATTTACTGTATCATTAACATTCTCTGCAGACAGATAATGAGATCATCATTTTGGAAGTCAGAGGTTTTAATAAATCCATTTATTTGTTTTGTTTTTTGTTGGTGGCATTTTCTGTTTCTAATGTACAAAGAAATTACATAAGACAAAGCTGACATATTAAAAATACTGCTAACCATGGCTTCACCCCAAAAGTGAAACCAAAACACATATGCAAACACATGCAGAACAGGTCATAAACCCCGCCCACTCCAAGTTATCAGATGGGACATAGGCATGGGCCAAACTAAAGTAAACTAAACTAAGTAAGAAAAAGTACATAAACACTTTTTGTCCTGTTTTCTGTTATTTTAGGAAGCCTGGTTCTTAATCACACACTTAGTCACCGCTTTTCATTCACTTGTTTAGCTTGACTTGGTTAGTCTATGGGTACATCCTGGACAGGTCACCATCAAAGTAATAAGAGTCATAAGTGTGAAACTGAACTGAAAATCTTTTTTTTAAAAAACTGAATCACCAAATTGTTCCACTGTCCTCTCTGATGAAAAGTTTCAAGTCTGTTTCAACTCTGCTCTATTGTATCCGTAACCATAGCAAATAGTGATGATGTCACTGAGTACTGACACATCCAGAAGGACACGTCTACATTGCTGCAACAAGCTGAGAAATTCAACCACTGGAGGTCACCAAAAACAGATTTCAAGACGTTGCGAGTTGTTCTTTGAGGCTGAAAAGCTTTGTCTCATGGCAATAAAAGTTTGTTTCACCTCTGACCACACCCAGCATCAGCAGTGATACATCAGAGGTGCATCAACCATACGTCCCTGCTGGTTGTGGTTGGGTTTGGTCAGTAGTGTGATTTGTTGTACTTGTTGTCCCTGTAGTAAGGGATGTCCACTGGAGATCTGGAAAAATTTAAGTTTCAGCTGGTGTTAAGTTGCTCTTTCAGTGGGAAAAGGATCTTTCCAGTCCAGTCTTTTCTTCAGTTATTTGGCTTCAAAGGTATATATCATGATGTCATCAGCATACAAGTAAAGAGAGATATTGTATTTTAGGATAATGAGGAGTATATGAATGGAGACGAGAGTGGTACCAAGTGCAAAACTTGACGGGCTTTGAAGCAAGACAATGGATGTTAACTGGTCTCCGTTCAGCTTTAAACATATTTATCTAACAGACCATGAATATGTTTGTCTGTGGGAGAAGTATGTAGCTGGAACCAGGAAAAATGTCCCCTAGTTTAGCATAGACTAGATTAGCTAGCCTAGTTCTGGCCAAAATTCAAAAATATGCCTACCAACAATTAACATGTTTGTTTAATGATGAGAGTGGCTCTAAGTAAGAAGGCATTGTTTGTATATATAATAGTCTATTTCCAAACTATTATTTTTACCAAATAAATCAAAATAACTTAGCCTAGCAAATTCACCCCCAAGTTTAACCCAGTGCTAGAGCAATAATAGAGGCTAGAAATAATCACCTTAAAGTACATGAGACTACACAAACATTTCAGTTTACACCTTCCTCACATGCAGGCTCAATGACGTCACTGTCCAACTGCTATTAAACGTAGGTCAGGTGCAAACATTTAAGACATATCAAACACTGTCACAGAAGGTCGGCACGGAGCAAATTTCTAAAGAAAACCGGTGGCCATACTTGGACTTTAGATCAAGTACAATAAAGCCAATAATCCAGGAAAAATAAAACAAATATTGAATAAAAATTATATCCAAGTGTTTGCATTGCCACACCCTTTAAAATCTGCTCTATGTACTCCATTCCTATGACAATGCTTTATTTGTTTTGATTGCACCTGTTCCTATTTACCTGTTCAATGTGGTTAAACTCTGGTAATGATTGAGCCTTTAGTTCCGTCAACATCATTAAATTGAAAAAAGAAAAAGCTAAGTTCTACCTCCTGAGATTTAACTAAAATACTATAATATAACTATTATTTTTTCTTCCACCTCTTAGAATTTATTTTACAAGTGCAATTAAAATTTACATTCAGTTATACTTTTACAACCACTGCAACTTCCTGGCATTACATTTAACCTCTTGCATATTTCAGACCTTATCACCTTAAATCATCCATTAAACTACGTCTGTATTATCACTGTCCTCCCCCTCTGCCCCCTCGCTCCTTCTCAGGCTGTGTGTGTGGCATGTGGTTTGGATTCCTGTCCAAGGACTGTGGGAGAACAAGGCCCCCCAGTGTGCTCTGTTTTTCACATTCCTCAGCCCTGACATCAGCCCGGCTGTAGGAAGGACGCTGCCTCAATAGCGAAATGGCTGTGT